ATTTTTAGTAGAGACAGGGTTTCACCATGTTAGCCAGGATGGTCTCGATCTGCTGACCTTGTGATCACCTGCCTCCCAAAGTGCCGGGATTACAGGCGTGAGCCACCGCGCACAGCCGTCACCTTAAGTGATTCTTGCCTTCAGTTTAACAGCCACCATAACAAGACACTGGAAGCAGAAATTCACACGCTTACTACACAATGTTAACCTTCCCAGGCAAACCAACTCACATAGGGAGATAATGCCAAGCCCAGGGCAGGCAGTGGCGACGCATGCTTGCTTGTGTATTAAAAAACAAATCACTGGCTGGGCACATTGGCTCAGACCTATAATCCTAACACTTTGGGAGGCTGAGGTGGGTGCATCACTTGAGCTCAGGAGTTCAAGCCAGCCTGGGCAACACAGTGAGACCCTCATCTCTATAACAATTTTTTAAAATTAGTTGGGGGTAATGGTTTGCACCTGTAGTCCCAGCTGCCCGGAGGCTGAGGTGGGAGGATGACTTGAACCCCAGAGGTGGAGGCTGCAGTGAGCTGTGTTCAAGCCACTGCACTCCAGCCTGGGTGACAGAGCCAGATCCTGTCTCAATAAACAAAAACAAACAACAACAAGAACAACAACAAAGATAAATCACTCAATATAGCATCAGGAGAAAAAGCTCTCTTGAAATAGTCACATGCAAAGAAATTAATTCCCTCTAGTCAGAAAGAGGCACTAAAGTGCCAGAGAACATCTGATCGATTTCAATGTCAGGTTTTGAGAGGTTTTTTAAAAACAGTTTCAGATGTTTCTTACTATTTTTTGGCAGAACATCTGCCATCTGCTTTCTTCTCTCCCCTCATCTTGTAACTAGATGGTGAATTAATAACTCAGAAAAAACATATATCTATATGTAACCTTATCTAAAAGCAATCATCAAAATGTGGTGAGAAGAAGGGGCAGATTTAAAAGTTTTATGAAGCATTCATTTTAAGCCTCCTTAATTATTCTTGAAAAACAAAACACACCACTTTTCCTGACTGCAGCACTGGGGAGGGTTGCGTATTACGGGTGACTGATGAGTTGTGCCTGGGGCTTAATTTTTAAAGTTAGCACTGGGTGATGACAGAGAAAGGTCAATGCCACCGAAAGAATAATTTTTTTTTTTTTTTTTTTTTTGACAGGTCTCACTCTGTCACCCAGGCCGGAGTGCAGTGGCGGGATCTTGGCTCACTGCAACCTCTGCCTCCTGGGTTCAAGTGATACTCCTGCCTCAGCTTCCCGAGTAGCTGGGATTACAGACATCTGCCACCACACCCAGCTAATTTTTTGTATTTTTAGTAGAGACAGGGTTTCACCATGTTGGCCAGGCTGGTCTCAAAGTCCTGACCTGAGGTGATCTGCCTACCTTGGCCTCCCAAAATGCTGGGATTACAGACGTGAGCCATTGCACCTGGCCAAGAAGAATTTATTCATACTATTCCCAAGAGATAGGGCCACACCACACTATGCCAGGCCACACCAGGCCATGCCACACTAGACAGGGCCACAGGAGGAAGTACCAGATTCAGTCAAGAGGCAGAATAAAGGGGAAAGAATGGTCCAGAGCTTTATTGTGTTTCCCAATGGAAGGGCAAGGCAGGACTGGGGAAACAGCTTAGGGTAAACTACTTTGAATAATGCCAGTGGGTTCTGAGTTACAGGAATGGTCTCTAAATGTCTGGCCCTCACCCTACCTGTCCCTAAGGAGAAATACTGGAGAGTTAGAAAAGGAAGTGGTTGAGGGATTGGTTGAAGGGTTTGTAATATGATTTTCACACCCTCACAAAAGCTGGATTGCAGGGGAGATGTAAACAACTTCAGCCTTGGGAGGCCAAGATGAAAGGATGGCTTGAAGCCAGGAGTTCAAGGCTGCAACAAGCTATGAGCACAACACTGCACTCCAGCCTGGTTGAAAGAATAAGATTCTGACTCTACAAAACATTTTTGAAAAAATATTTTTTTCTTTTTTCTTTCTTTTTTTTGAAACAGTCTTGTTCTGTCACGCAGGCTGAAGTGCAGTGGTACGATCCTGGCTCACTGCAACCTCCGTCTCCTGGGTTCAAGTGATTCTTGTGCCTCAGCATCCTGAGTAGCTGGGATTACAGGCATGTGCCACCATGCCTGGCTAATTTTTGTTTTTTTTTTTTTTTTTTTTTTTTTTTTTTTGAGACAGAGTCTCGCTCTGTCGCCCAGGCTGGAGTGCAGTGGCCGGGTCTCAGCTCACTGCAAGCTCCGCCTCCCGGGTTCACGCCATTCTCCTGCCTCAGCCTCCGGAGTAGCTGGGACTACAGGCGCCCGCCACCTCGCCCGGCTAGTTTTTTGTATTTTTAGTAGAGACGGAAGTTTCACCATGATGTCCAGGCTGGTCTCGAACTCCTGACCTCAAGTGATCCACCCGCCTTGGCCTCCCAAAGTGCTGGGATTATAGATGTAAGCCACCTTGCCCGGTTGAAAATTTTAACAATAAAAATTAGCCACGTGTGGTGGTGCACGCTTGTAGTCCCACCCAGCCACTTGGGAGGCTGAAGTGGGAGTATCACTTGGGCCCAGGAGGTGGAGGCTGCAGTGAGCTCTGATCATCTGATCATGCCAGTGCTCTCCAACCTGGGTGACAGAACAAGACCCCACCTCAAAACACACAAACAAAACAAAAAACACAACTTCAGCCTTTAGTTTGGCCCTGTGATTAATGATTGCCAAATAGACATATACAGAATCTAAGAAAACACAGTTTGCTGAGGTGTGCCTGTCCCCAGTCCAGTAATTAGTATCTAAGATTTACCACCATCCACTCCCACTTTGTTCTAGATGCCAAACCTCTTCTTCCCCCTTAAGGAATAGTCATATTGCTTGAAGTTTTTTTTTTTTTAATTTATCTGCTTGTTGTTAATCCTGTATTGTTTTAAGATGTGCATTTTAATCTTAAGCGACAAGCTGATTTTCTGTCACTCTGAGATGATGCAAGTACAGGCGGTGACACGGGGAGGGGGATGCTTTTTGGTTCCAGGTGGTTGGAGAGAGTCACCCAGCGCTTTGGATTGTGTTCCTTCCCCTGCCACCTGTCACAGAGCCAGGGGACAGACCAGGAGGACTAGATGGGCCACTGTTTTGGCTTTTCCTTCCATAAAATACCAGCATTTTTTGCCAGATGCAGTGGCTTATGCCTGTAACCCCAGCACTTTGGGAACCTGAGGCAGGCAAATCACTTGAGCTCAGGAGTTCGAGACCAGCCTGGGCAACACGGCAAAAGCCCATCTCTACAAAAAATACAAAAATTAGCCGAGCATGGTGGTGCATGCCTGTAGTCCCACCTGCCTGGGAGACTGAGGTGGGAGAATCTCCTGAGCCTAGGAAGTCAAGGCTGCAGTGAGCGGTAATCCCGGTGCTGCACTCCAGCCTGGGCAACAGAGTGAGACCCTGTCTCAAAAAAAACCCCAAAAGCCCAACACCTTCAAAGAGATCTTATAAATACAGATCCTTTTCTTCCTACAGATATGCCAAGTACTACAAGGAAAACAATGTTGAGAAACGGACTCTGATAAAAGTCTTTGGGATCCGTTTTGACATCCTGGTTTTTGGCACCGTAAGTCTCCTTTCCCAGCTCCGGGCACCGGCATCCTATGACTGTGTCCTAATTACTGCTGTGGGGCCTCCATGGAGGAAAGGGTTTTGGTCACAGCCATTAGCTAGCACTGGGCATTTCGCACATGGCATAAAAGAGGAAGAAGATGTCCTCGGGGTGCTGTCCCTGAATGAGTCATCTGACGAGTACAGGAGTGGGCCTGGAAAGCAGTTCTAACATTCGGCTTTAAAAATACTCTGATACTTAACAAGAGAGAGAAAGAAATCTCCTGTAAAATAATTTGTAAGTAACAGAATCCAATTCAAATTGGCTTAAGGGGAAAAAAAATGTTTTCAATGGGCTTTTTTGGGTTCACATAACTGAAAAAATTCCAGGGGTTATTTTTAAGCTACAAGCATGGTTGGATCCAGGTGTTAAAACAACATCATCATCATCAAGAACTTGCCACCCTCTGTGTCTTATATACGTCCTCCTTGGTCTTGGCATCATCCCCAGACCAGCCATCTCTCTATGAAGGTATCAAGCAGCACCTTCGATCTGACCGGTTTAGCAACCTCAGTGAAAAGAAAATGCCTCTTTGCCAGAAGGTTCAGCAAAGGTCTCAGACAAATGTCATCGGCTCTGATTGGCCCACTGTGGACGACATGCCCACCGCCGAACTAATCACTGTGACCAGGGTCAGGCCATACTCCCAATGGTTGGTCTCGAACCAACCCTAACTCAGCCCAGGGGCCAGCGGAGAGGCCAACACCCCAGCCCCTTCCACACACACACACACACACACACACACACACACACACACACACTACATGGACTGAAAAGAAAATTGGAGTGTTGCCCTCTGAAGACAGAAGGAGAAGATGCCAGGTATGCAAAAATCAACATATCCCACGACATGATATCCAAGAGCGTGTTATCTATGTAAGATGGTGATAAGCAGGACGAGAAGCAATGAGATATAGCTGAAAGAATGCAAAGACCACCGGGAATAAAAACCACAAGGCTGGGCCGGGCACAGTGGCTCACGCCTGTAATCCAAGCTCTTTGGAAGGCTGAGGCAGGTGGATCACGAGGTCAGGAGTTCAAGACCAGCCTGGCCAACATGGTGAAACCCTGTCTCTACTAAAAATGCAAAAAATTAGGTGGGTGTGGTAGTGGGTGCCTGTCATCCCACCTACTTGGGAGGCTGAGGCAGGAGAATCACTTGAACCCAGGAGGTGGAGCTTGCAGTGAGCTGAGATCATGCCACTGCACTCCAGCCAGGGCAATAGTGCAAGACTCTGTCTCAAAAAAAAAAAAAAAAAAAAAAAACCACGAGGCCACCCAGACATTCCTTCCCTCTGCTTCTGAAGTAATGTCAAACCTTTTGGAGAAGAAGCTTGTCTGAAATCCTCACCTTGTATGAAGAAATGACAGCCCTTCGGTGGGTCTCTCCTTAATGTGTGGGCCCCAGTGCTTGTTCATGTAAACCTTTATGGGTCTAAGCATACCCTGCATGGCTGAAGCAGGATGCCTGAGAGTCAGCTTCAGTCTGCGTAGTCTCTGCCTCGGCCAGCACTTGAATGTATCTATCCAAGTCACAGTAGGAGGCTCCGCTCCCTGATAGAACCAAGCATTGCACGCTGAAGCAAAAGAGCGCTGCTCTGAATTTCACCTGAGTAAACTCTCCCACTCTGTTTTTAGGGAGGAAAATTTGACATTATCCAGCTGGTTGTGTACATCGGCTCAACCCTCTCCTACTTCGGTCTGGTAAGAGATTCTCTTTTCCGTGCATTAGGAAAATGGTTTGGAGAAGGAAGTTACTAACGTGGCGCTTGTCTGCGTTTTCCACAGGCCACTGTGTTCATTGACTTCCTCATCAACACTTACTCCAGTAACTACTGTCGCTCCCATATTTATCCCTGGTGCAAGTGCTGTCAGCCCTGTGTGGTCAACGAATACTACTACAGGAAGAAGTGCGAGTCCATTGTGGAGCCAAAGCCGGTGAGGCCGCTGTGTTCACAGGACACCAAGACACAGAGAGATTCCGTGAAATCACTGAGCAATGAACGAAAGTTAGGCCCAAATCACAGGCTTCATCCTGTAGTGGATACGTCTCTGGGCTCTACCCCGATCAACCAACTCTCAGATAAATTCTTGGGTCTTAGAGAAGAATAGAAACAAAAAATGGAGGGGCAAGATAGAGGGAAGGCAATTTTTTACATCCAGGACTTGCCAATTTTGTCATTTATTTATTTATTTATTTTCAGATGGAGTCTTGCTCTATCACCCAGGCTGGAGTGCCTCCCAGGTTTAAGTGATTCTCCTGCCTCAACCTCCCAAGTAGCTGGGACCACAAGTACACACCACCACACCCAGCTACTTTTTATATTTTTAGTAGAGACAGTGCTTAGCTATGTTGGCCAGGCTGGTCTCAAACTCCTGACTTCAAATGATCCACCCACTCTGCCAGCCACAGTGCTGAGATTACAAGTGTAAGCCACTGAGCCCAGTCTGTTTTGTCATTTATTAAATTGGTATAGCCAAAAAAAAAGAGAAAAGAATAACGACTTTAGAGAACAATTTGGCAGTGACTAATGTTTAAGGGACATACTTTACAGCCTGGCATTTTCAGTTCTTCATACCTGCCCTAGAAAAATACTCACATGAGTACCCAAGCAATACACGAGTGCAAGATGTACAAAGCAGGATTGTTTATTAAATTATCAATCATATATGATTATTAACAGTGAAGAAATAGCATCTAACCAAATATCCAACAGGTGAATGGTGAAATAAACTATGGTAAATTCATAGAAAGGAATACCAGGCACCAGTTAAAAAAAATGAGATAGATAATAATAATGGCAAACACTTACACAGCACTTCTAAATGCTTTATACATTAACTCACTGAATCTTCACAACAACCTGATGTAGACAGATGCTACTATTATCTCTTTCTGTGGATGAGGAAATCGAGCTATAGGAAGGTTAAATAATTGGCCCAAGGCTGGGCACAGTGGCTCATGCTTGTAATCCCAACATTTTGGGAGGCTGAGGCAGGCAGATCACTTGAGGTCAAGAGTTCGAGACCAGCCTCGCCAACATGGTGAAACCCCATCTCTACTAAAAATACAAAAATTAGCCAGGCATGGTGGTGCACGCCTGAAGTCTCAGCTGCTTGGGAGGCTGAGGCCGGAGAATTGCTTGAACCTAGTTGGCAGAGGTTGCAGTGAGCCAAGATTATACCATTGCACTCCAGCCTGGGTGACAGAGGGAAACTCTGTCTCAAAAAAAAAAAAAAAAAAAAAAAAAAAAAAAAAAAATTATAGGGCTTGACAAGAGCAGATCTCCAAGACATTTGTTAAAAGAAAAAAAAAATCACTTGGACTCGGGAAGGGGAATATCACACGCCGGGGCCTATCATGGGGAGGGGGGAGGGGGGAGGGGGGAGGGATTGCATTGGGAGTTACACCTGATGTAAATGACGAGTTGATGGGTGCTGACGAGTTGATGGGTGCAGCACAGCAACATGGCACAAGTATACATATGTAACAAACCTGCACATTATGCACATGTACCCTAGAACTTAAAGTATAATAATAATAAAAAATAAATTAAAAAAAAAAGAAAAAAAAAGCAAACTGTAGAGCAATATATATTATATGATATATAGGATTAAAAAACCACTAGACACAGAAGCTAATCTATATCTTTTCTGCATGTATATTCTATATATACAGAAGTGTACACACACACACATATACATATGTGTGGTTGTATATATGTACACAAAATTGTACCAGTGGCTGCTTCTGGAAAGGAGCTTAGGTGGGGGAGTAGTCAAAGAGATTTCAGCGTCATCTGTATTGTTTTGATTTGATTAATCCATTGGACTTTATTAAGCAGGTCCTCTGCATTCAACTCCATGATTTTCCCCAAAAAGAAATCTCTGGTACCTAAAAACAAAAGTGATTCGCTGGACGCGGTGGCCTGTAATCCCAGCACTTTGGGAGGCCAAGGTGGGCGGATCACCTGAGGTCAGGAGTTCAAAACCAGCCTGGCCAACATGGAGAAACCCCGTCTCTACTAAAAATACAAAAAAGTAGTGGGGTGTGGTGGCACATGCCTGTAATCCCAGCTTCTCCAGAGGCTGAGGCAGGAGAATCACTTGAACCCAGGAGGTGGAGGTTGCAGTGAGTCAGGATCGCGCCATTGCACTCCAGACTGGGCAACAAGAGCCAGCAACATGATTGTCCTGTTCCAGCAGCTGAATGCACAATTCACTGTCCATTGTATATGCATTCACAATTTGAAATAAAAGTTCATCTTTATAGCTAAAACTAATCACTACTTAATGGCCCAAGATGAGATGAAATTTAACAAACATATAAATAATTTAAGTTGCAATAGTACAACTTTCTGGAGATACTGAATCTAGAGTTACTGAAATTGAGATAATACCACAAAGAAATTGTACGCAGCAATTGGGGGATCCAATGTAAAAACATTAAGCAGTAAGCTGTGGCTATGTTGAATTTACAAATTAAGATGCATGGGGTTCTGCCCAGCGCAGTGGCTCATGCCTGTAATTCCAGCACTTTGGGAGGCCAAAGTGGGGGGGATCACCTGAAGTCGGGAGTTCAAGACCAGCCTGCCCAACATGGAGAAACCCCATCTCTACTAAAAATACAAAATTAACTGGGCGTGGAGGTGCATGCCTGTAATCCCAGCTACTCAGGAGGCTGAGGCAGCATAATCACTTGAACCTGGGAGGCGGAGGTTGCAGTGAGCCAAGATCGCGCCACTGCACTCCAGCCTGGGCAACAAGAGCAAACTCCGTCTCAAAAAAAGAAAAAAAAAAGCATGGGGTTCCATTTCTGATTTACCTTTAGACTCAGAAATCATTTATTCTTGGTCAATGAGAGTTTTGAGCCAGTTTGTTCAATAGTCTATCATTTGGCACATAGGAATTACAATTGCCTTTAGATAGGCAATTCTTGATAATTCTGTACAAAAATGGGTAAACTTTTAAACCGTCTTTTCCTAGACATTAAAGTATGTGTCCTTTGTGGATGAATCCCACATTAGGATGGTGAACCAGAAGCTACTAGGGAGAAGTCTGCAAGATGTCAAGGGCCAAGAAGTCCCAGTAAGTTAAACCATTTTGTCTTTATTTTTTAAAGAAAATTTACTATTAAATATAAACCCATCTAGAAACTTGTACAAATCAAAACTGATGGATTTGAACAAAGTAAACATACTCATGTAACCAGCACTCAGATTAAACAACTGAAAATTACTAGCAGGAGTCCCTTTTATGCCCTGCTCCAATCACTACCCTTTCTGTTTTTTTTAATTTTTAAAATTTGGCTGGGCATGGTGGCTCACACCTGCAATCCCAGCACTTTGGGAGGCCAAGGCAGGTGGATCACTTGAGGTCAGGAGTTCAAGACCAACCTGGCCAACATGGTGAAACCCTGTCTCTACTAAAAATACAAAAATCAGCCAGGTGGTGTGGTGGCATACATGTAATCTCAGCTACTCAGGAGGCTGAGGCAGGAGAATCGCTTGAACCCAGGAGGTGGAGGTTGCAGTGAGCTGAGATTGTGCCACTGCACTCCAGCCTGGGTGACAGAGCAAGACTCCATCTCAAAAAAAAAAGAGAAAAAAATGTATATTTTTAAATTACAAATGAGGTGTCACTACGTTGCCCAGGATGGTCTCAAGCAATCCTCCCGCCTCGGCTCTACCAAGTCCACCCAACTGCCCTCTCTTAAAAGTAGTCATTATCGGCCGGGCGCGGTGGCTCACGCCTGTAATCCCAGCACTTTGGGAGGCCGAGGCGGGTGGATCACAAGGTCAGGAGATCGAGACCACGGTGAAACCCCGTCTCTACTAAAAATACAAAAAATTAGCCGGGCGCGGTGGCGGGCGCCTGTAGTCCCAGCTACTCAGGAGGCTGAGGCAGGAGAATGGCGTAAACCCAGGAGGCGGAGCTTGCAGTGAGCCGAGATCGCGCCACTGCACTCCAGCCTGGGTGACAGAGCGAGACTCCGTCTCAAAAAACAAACAAACAAAAAAAAAAGTAGTCATTATCCTGTATCCAAAGATTAATTTTACTTTCTGCTAGAATTTTCTAAAAGTTGAATCATGTAGTGTGTAAGTGGTACATACTCGGTTGAGTGTCTGGCTTCCTTTACTTAACATTATTTTTGTGAGAGTCATTCATGACGCTGTATATAGTTCATTCCCATTGTATAATTCCGTTTTATAAGCATCCAACTTACTCAGCCATCCTACTGTTGATGGACATTTGGGTAGTGTCCAGTTTGGGGCTAATGCCAATAATGCTGCTATGCTCAACATACGGTACTCTACTGGGCAGTTACCTAAGAGTGGAATTGCTGAGTCATAAGGCAGACATATATTCAGTTTTAGGAGATACTAACAAACAGTGCTACAAAATGGTTGTTCTTATTCGCACTCTCCCCAACAGTTCTGGCTGCTGGGCATCTTCAATTTCCTAGGGCTGAATTACCATACACTAAGCGGCTTAAAGAACAGAAATGGCTGGTGGCTCACGCCTGTAATCCCAGCACTTTGGGAGGCCGAGGTGGGCAGATCACCTGAGGTCGGGAGTTTGAGACCAGCCTGACCAACATGGAGAAACCCCATCTCTACTAAAAATACCAAAATTAGCCAGGCATGG